CTCGCCTGTAATCCCAGCACTTTGGCAGATCACCTGAGGTCAGGAGTTTGAGACCAGCCTGGCCAACATGGGGAAACTTCGTCTCTACTAAAAATACAAAAATTAGCTGGGTATGGTGGTACACACCTGTAATCCTAGCTATTCGGGAGGCTGAGGCAGGAGAATTGCTTGAACCTGGGAAGCGGACGTTGCAGGGAGCTGAGATCATGCCATTGCACTCCAGCCTGGGCAACAAGAGCGATACTCTGTCTCAAAAAAATAAATTAATTAAGAGAGCAATTAATACCTGTTTTATATACATATATATATTTGAGACAGAGTCTTGCTCTGTCACCAGGCTAGAGTGCTGTGACACGATCTAAGCTCACTGCAACCTCCATCTCCCAGGTTCAAGCGATTCTCCTGCCTCAGCCTCCCAAGTAGCTGGGACTACAGGCACACGCCACCATACCCAGTTAATTGTTGTATTTTTAGTAGAGATGGGGTTTCACTATGTTGGCCAGGATGGTCTCGATCTCTTGACCTCGTGATTTGCCTGCTTTGGCCTCCCAAAGTGCTGGGATTACAGGCGTGCACCACTGCACCTGGCATACCTACAATATTATACACAGTCTTTACCATAACATCTAGGGTTTGATTATACATTTTCTTTTAAGACTTATGAATTCGATTTATTTATTCAGTCTCCACAATTAATCTGGAAGTGTCTCTGTAATAGGGACTCCTTCATCTCTCCTCATGGTGCCTAATTTTGAGTGAACACTTGATAACTTATTGCTGGAGTAAGTTGTCAACTGTGAAAATGGATTGGGGCCCAAGTGTGGAGGGCCCTTGCCCTCCTCCTGTAATCTCTATCCCAGTTGGCAGTGCCACCATCCACTCGGTCACCCATGCCAGAAACCTGGAGTCATCTTTAACTCCTCGTCCTTTTTCTTAATCCAGGCATTCCAGTAGTTATCCAATTCCAATAATTCCACTTTCCATGTTTTTCTCAGAAACCTCTCCTCCCCTATATCCTTCCACTGCCGTAGTAGCTCCGGCTTAATCTTCTCTCACCTACATTTTGCCAGTAGCTTTTTAACTGGCCTCTTTGCCTTCAGTCCTGCCCCCTCAAATCCATCTTTCCAACAGCCAGCAGACTTAACTATCTAGAATACAGATATGACAATGTCATTTCACAGATTACTCTTTTAAAGTGTCCTGATGGACTCCAAGTATTTAGCCTAACACATGAGGTCTCCTGTGATCTGGCCCTGCCTCCGTCTCAGCCTTATATCCCACCTCTCCAGCCTTATCTCTTCCTACTCCCAGCCTGAAATGTTATGCTCCAGCAAGAGAGGCCCATTTGTGCTTCTATCATATCTGTCTTTTTGTATGTGGCTTCTTGACCACCTCAGATTTCACCCTCTACCTGAACTGCCTTTTATTTTCCCCTGGCTAACTCATCATTACGCTTTAAAAGTCAACTCAGTTGTCACTCCTCCAAAAAGCCTTTCCTGCCTCTTCCTCAACACCCCTTTGCCAAAGCAGGATTAGGTGCCCCGCTTCTTCAGTCCCATAATGCTCTGTACAGGGCACCATCATTGATCTGACTATATTTCTTTTCTTTTCTTTTCTTTTCTTTTCTTTTCTTTTCTTTTCTTTTCTTTTCTTTTCTTTTCTTTTGAGACAGAGTCAAGCCCTGGCACTCAGGCTAGAGTACAATGGTGTGGCTTTGGCTCACTCCGCCTCCCGGGTCCAAGCGATTCTCCTGCCTCAGCCTCCCTAGTAGCTGGGACTATAGGCATGTGCCACCACACCCAGCTAATTTTTGTATTTTTAGTAGAGACGGGGTTTCACTATGTTGGCCAGGCTGGTCTTGAACTCCTAACCTCATGATCCGCCCACCTTGGCCTCCCAAAGTGCTGGGATTACGGGCGTGAGCTGCTGTGTCTGGCCCTATATTTCTTTATGTCTGTGTAAAGGTCTGTCTCCCCCATTAATGATTAAAGTTTGTGAGGGTAGGAGAGCATGTTACTCATCTTTTAACTCTAGTATCTAAGACATAGGTGGATTCTTGGTCAATATTTGTTGATTGAATAAATTAGCATGAATTCTCAGAGTCACAAAGACACCAACAGATATATACACATAAATATTCTTACCATCTCCCAAGGAACAGATCCAAGCATCTGTGCTCTCTGGAACTCAGCTTATTTCAAAATGCAAAGTTATGCATAGCTGGATGTTATACCACTTGAGATTAAGGGTTCTGCTAACTCATTCTGGGAACCTAAACAAGCATCTTTTTAACTGAGTCAGTCTTTCTTTCCCTTTCTTTCCCCTTCTTTCTTTCTTTCTTTCTTTCTTTCTTTCTTTCTTTCTTTCTTTCTTTCTTTCTTTCTCTTTCTTTCTTTCTTTCTCTTTCCTTCTTTCTTTCCCTTCCTTCCTTCCTTCCTTCCTTCCTTCCTTCCTTCCTTCCTTCCTTTCTCTCTCTCTCTCTCTCTCTGTGTGTGTGTGTGTGTGTATGTTTATGACTCTAGCCTGCTCTTGGGGTTTTAATTCATCTTTAGAGAAATATTAATTATAATTTAATTCAACTGAAGAAGCAGAAGACATAATAGCAAAACAAAGAAAAATAGGTTGGGTGTGGTGGCTCACGCCTGTAATCCCCGACTTTGGGAGGTCAACGCAGGTGGATCACAAGGTCAGGAGATGGAGACCATCCTGGCTAAAATGGTGAAATTCTGTCTCTACTAAAAATACAAAAAGTTAGCCAGGCATGGTGGCACACACCTATTATCCCAGCTACTTGAGAGGCTGAGGCAGGAGAACCTCTTGAACCTGGGAGGCAGAGGTTACAGTAAGCCAAGATCACACGACTGTGCTCCAGCCTGACCAACAGAGTGAGACTCGGTCTCAAACACACACACACACACACACACACACACAGAAAAATAAATGCTGATTTCTAGTGAGAAAAGATCATATAGTACAGAAACAGCAAACACCCAGAGAGATCTGCAGTGAGAAGAACCTTTCAAATTGGAAGACTGAGACTTTGGACTTTATTCCAGTGTGTGTGGAATCAAATTTATCTAACAGAGATTTATCCAACATATTGCCCATCCCCAAAACATCCAAATATTTTGAAATGACTTTTTCTGTTCATAGATGTTGGGAAAGCAGACAGATAAATGATACATAGACAGGTATAGACACACACACAAACACAAGCAAAAATATTCTTCAATGATGATAGAGCACTAAGCCCCAGTGAAGACTTCTTCTTCTTCTTTATTTTATTTTATTTTTTTTGAGACAGAGCCTGGCTATGTCACCTAGGCTGGAATGCAGTGGCGCGATCTCAGCTCATTGCAACTTCCACCTCCCGGCTTCAAGCAATTCTTCTGCTTCAGCCTCCTGAGTTACTGGGACTGACTACAGGTGTGTGCCACCACACCCAGTTAATTTTTCGTATTTTTAATAGAGATGGGGTTTCACCATGTTGGCCAGGCTGGTCTCGAACTCCTGACCTCGGCCTCCCAAAGTGCTGGCATTACAGACGTGAGCCATCATGCCCAGCTGACTTCTACTTCTGAATCTTAAACTTATTAATTAGAAGCCCTTCATCTTGACTCCAGATGGGACTGGGTACATAATTTTGGAAGGCAGCCCACTGAAAAATGAGAATCCAGGTCCCCTTGTTCAAAAAGTAAGTATTTTAAGACAGCAACAGCAGAGCATTGAGCCAAGCATGAGAGTCCTCTGAATGCAGAGCTCGTGGGACTGTGCAGATCATACATCCATGAAGCCATTTCTGGTGCAAGAGTTCCTAAATCAACCTCAACTACCTCTGGTTAGAGGTCACTATTATTTTTTAAAAAGTTTGGCCGGGCATAGTGGCTCACACCTGTAATCCCAGCACTTTGAGAGGCCAAGGTGGGCGGATCACAGGTAAGGAGTTTGAGTCCAGCCTGACCAACATGGTGAAACCCCATCTCTACTAAAAATACAAAAATTAGCCAGGTGGTGGGCGCCTGTAATCCCAGCTACTTGGGAGGCTAAGGCAGGAAAATCACTTGAACCCAGGAGGCGGAGGTTGCAGTGAGCTGAGATCGCGCCGCTGCATTCCAGCCTGGGTGACAAAGCAAGACTCCATCTCGGGGGGAAATATATATATATTTTTTTTTTAATAGCACTCTTTATTTATTTATTTATTTTTTAGAGATAGGGTCTTGCTATGTTGCCCAGGTGGAATTCAAACTCCTGGGCTCAAACCATCCTCTACCTGTCTCCAGAGTAGGGCGGACTAGAAGTGCATGCCGCTGCGCCCTGTGATCACTCTGATTAACTCTGAGTCCTCCCTAGTTAGGAAGTGAGTGGACTCTTTGTATAAGCTCTAAATTAGACCCTAGTGCCTCTCTCTCTCTCTTTTTTTTTTTTTTAGATGGAGTCTCACTCGTTCTGTGTGCCCAGGCTGGAGTGCAGTGGCATGATCTCAGTTCACTGCAACCTCTGCCTGCAGAGTTCAAGCGATCCTCCCATCTCAGCCTCCCCAGTAGCTGGGATTACAAGTGTGTGCCACCATGCCCAGTTAATTTTTGTGTTTTTAGTAGAGACAGGGTTTCACCATGTTGTCCAGGCTGGTGTCAAACTACTGACCTCAAGTGATCCGCCTGCCTTGGCCTCCCAAAGTGCTGGGATTATAGGTGTGAGCCACTGCCCAGCCCCTAGTCTCTTAAAAACTTTCCTTTTGGGAGCCTTATGCAACTGTTACACCTCTTCTTTTAGTACGGACATACTGTGCATGAAAAAGCTTGCTCTGTCTGTCTGCCTATCTGTCTATCTGTCTCTCTTTCCAGCTTGTTCAGGATCTCTGTACACAGGAGACTGCAGATGTAGCCTTAAGCTTATCGGCAGGGAAAATCTCCATTCGTCTGATAAGATGCAGCCTCCAATGAATCACGAGGTTCCCACCCACCAGAGTCCCTCCCCATGTGCCACCTACCAGCACCTTTGTCATGCTGGGAAAACCTCCCACCTAGGACTTTACCCTGAGTCCAGGGTCTGTGCCCTAACCCCACAGTCACTGAGAGCAACTGTAGGCCACATACAACAGACATTGCTTGTTTTCCAGGTACTAAGGGTCATAATCCCTAACTCCAGTTACAGGAAACTCCTGAGATCAGAGGAAAAACAGCATCCGCGTGGGAGTTTGGGGAGAGATCTTCCATACCAGATTCTGTGGCCTGCAGGTGACATGCTGACTAAGAGAAGCAGGTAGGAAATCTGTTGGGGGCCAAAGACTAAAAGCAATAAAGTACAGGTAATGCTGGGGGCTGGGCATGGTGGCTCACGTGTATAACCCCAGCACTTTGGGAGGCCAAGGTGGGAGGATTGCTTGAGCCCAGGAGTTCAAGACCAACCTGGGTAACATAACAGATCCATCTCTACAAAAAAGAAAGAAAAGAGGCCTGGTGCAGGGGCTCATGCCTGTAATCCCAGTACTTTGGGAGGCCGAGGTGGGAGAACACTTGAGGTCGGGAATTCGAGACCAGCCTGGCCAACATGGTGAAACCCTGTCCCTACTAAAAATAAAACATTAGCTGGGCATGGTGGTGGATGCCTGTAATCCCAGCTACTTGGAGGCTAAGGCATTAGAATAGCTTGAACCTGAGAGGTGGAGTTTGCAGCAAGCTGAGATTGAGCCACTGCACTCCAGCCTGGGCAACAGAGCAAGACTCAGTCTCAGGAAAAAAAAAAAAAAAAAAGGGGGGGGGAAAGAAGGGGGAGGGAAGGAGAGGGGAGGGGAGGGGAGGGAGGGGAAGGAGGGAAGAAGGGTGGGAAGAAGAGAGGGGAGAAGAGAGAAAAAGAAAAAATTATCCTGGTGTGGTGGTGTGTACCATAGTCCCAGCTACTCAGGAGGGTGAGGCGGAGGATGCCTTGAGCCCAGGAGTGTGAGGCTACATCGAACTATGATGGACTCCAGCCTAGGCAACACTAGGTAACAGAGTAAGACAACAACAACAACTGGGTAACATGGCAAAACCCCAATGTGGCAAAAAAAAAAAAAATTAGCTGGGCATGGTGGGGCTACTCAGGAGGCCGAAGTGGGAGAATTGCTTGAGCCCAGGAGACAGAGGTTGCAGTGAGTGGAGATCCAGCCTAGGTGACAGAGCAGGAACTTGTCTCAAAAAAGAAAAGCAAAGAAAAAGAAACACACTGGGGATCGAGTCAAGGACAGGTTTGGTTTGGTTCGGAACGAAACTCTGTAGAAGGGACAGAAAAGGGTCAAGGGTGGCCCAGAACTGACTGCTGACCCCTCCCACATTCAGGAGTCTGTGACAGCCGCCCCAACGCCTGGCGACATGGCCACTAGGGAAGATGAGCTGAGGAACTGTGTGGTATGTGGGGACCAGGCCACAGGCTACCACTTTAATGCGCTGACTTGTGAGGGCTGCAAGGGTTTCTTCAGGTGAGAGCCTCCTCCCCAATGGAAATAACCCTCCAAACCAAACTCCTTATCAGTTATCCTTTATACCTCCGCCCGTGCCCAAGACTATCCAGCTACATTACTCCTTTATCTTAGAATCTAACTACCCTGTGGCTGGCACTGTACATCTTGCCAAACGCAACACTATAAACTGGTGGCATAACAGAGGGAAGGCTGAATGTTTGTCTGATGGACACAGCCCATTAGTCAAGAGCACTTGCTATGTACCCACTGCCTGTGAAGCACCTTGCTAGTCCTACATCAACTAGGCCTTCCCAAGGGATGCTGTGTTGCCATGGAAATGCTTGAAATGTGTTGGACCCTATCCACCCCTGGGGGACGTTTGGGCACAGCTCAGAATAGTCAGTCCATTTCACCAGATTCCCAGGTTTTTTTAGACCATTTCATCTCATGCCCCCACCTAGCCACCTGTCTGTTCACTGCCATCCCAGACCCTAACAACATCTCTGTGTCTCACAGGAGAACAGTTAGCAAAAGTATTGGTCCCACCTGCCCGTTTGCTGGTAGCTGTGAAGTCAGCAAGGCTCAGAGGCGCCACTGCCCAGCCTGCAGGTTGCAGAAGTGCTTAGATGCTGGCATGAGGAAAGACAGTGAGTTGGCCCCCTACATCCCGAGAATCCATTGACTGTGTCTCTCTGCTTTGCCCTTGTTCCCAACAGCGCATTCTCTACATAGCAGGCACAGTAATCTTTTTTAAACTAGTTGGATTGTCACTATTCACTCAAGACCTCCAATGGCTCCCCATCTCAAAGCACATGATCTCATGGTCTAGCTCTCCCACACCTCAGACTGTACTTCATGCCCTTCTCCCATTTCTCAGTCAATTCTGGCCACTCTGACTTCACTGTCATCCTTAGAAACACCAAGCACACTCTTCCTCCAAGACTTTTCCACTTGTCTTTCCCTCTACCTGAAACGCTCTTCTCCTAGATATCCACATGGCTAGCTTTTCTTTTTTCTTTTTCTTTTTCTTTTTTTTTTTTTTAAGATGGAGTCTTACTCTGTCATCCAGGCTGGAATGCAGCGGCCCCATGTCGACCCCTGAGTTCAAGTGATTCTCTGCCTCAGCCTCCAGCATAGCTAGGATGACAGGCATGCACCACCAGGCCCAGCTAATTTTTTTGTATTTTTAGTAGAGATGAGGTTTCACCATGTTGGCCACACTGGTCTCAAACTCCTGGCCTCAGGCGACTGCCCACCTTGGCCTTCCAATGTGCTGGGATTACAGGTGTGAGTTTTTTATTTTCTTTCTATCTCTTGAGTATAGTGCCTGTCACCTAGTAAGTGCTCAATTATCGAATTAGTTAATGCCTTCTCTGTGCCAAGTAACTGTTCTTTGCTCCCAACAGATGATGTAACTGGGGCTCACAGAAGTTAATTTGCCCAAGTTAGTTCAACTAAAAACTTGTGCAGTCTGAGAGCCGTGACTCACGCCTCTAATCCCAGCATTTTGGAAGGCTGAGACGAGAGGATTGCTCAACGCCAGGAATTCGAGACCAGCCTAGTCAATAGAGTGAGATCTCCTCTCTAGAAAAAGACGAAGGAAAAAGAAGTTGTACAGTCAGTATTCAAACTCAAGTCTACCTGACTCCCAAACTCTTGCTTTTTCCATCTCACACGATTCTCACTATGGAAGAATGAAAAGAAACTGTAGAAGTCAAAGGATCTTGGTCTGAATTTAGGATCTTGGTCTGAATTTAAGATCTTGGTCTAATCCTGGATCTTTTGTAGACGTCAAAAGATTTGGGGCTGAATTAAATCTACATTACTTATTCTGTGACCTTGGTCCCGTCACAGGAATCTGAGCCTGACCATATTTCTAAAAAATATGATTAGGCTGGGTGTGGTGGCTCACGCCTGTAATCCCAGCTACTTGGGAGGCTAAGGCAGG